ATGTCTAGGATAGGCTAAATTTTCTGTTCATTGGAATTGGTTGTATGACGAATTATTAATGTAAATTTCTTGTGCAATATATGTTTCTGTTCTTGTTCTTTTCTTGACTTACTCTTGATTATACGGAAGTATTAATCTTCTTAAAGGTTCTTTTGTACTGGGAAGTATTTTTAGAACCAGAAACGTAAGAAAAGAAACTTAAAGTAACTACGCTAGGAATGGCTTCTGTGCTTTTGGTCATTCTCAACATCTGATTTTAATGCAAAAATTATCTGATGAATTAATTAAGGAATTAATAATTCAATAGATAATTTTAGAACTTGTTTTAAGGAATTAAACCAAGATACTCTCATGTGAATGCTTGAACAGAGAATATATGTTGTCCAGGATTTTACTGTAATATTAGTCAAAGACCAATTCTATTGATCTTTTATCGCATTTTTCAAATCTTATTTTTGTTTACGTTGTTAATTTAATGTTAAAATCCAAATTGAAATCACAAATATCATCATTAATTGATCTTGATAAATAATTTTAATTGATTAATGTAACTCAAATTCCCTTGGTAGAACGATACATTTTTACTTATCACTGTATTACTTGGAACGATTTGGTATACTTGCCAAAAAATTATCATCTAAACTTTTACTTTTTCCTTCAAGGTTGGCTTAACCTCCTTCTAGGATGCATCACTTACCCATTCATCAAGCCACTCAATCTCCTATTCTTCATGCTTCTCGCCTTCATCATCTTCATCAAGGAATCTTCATCAACTTGTTTGAAGGATCTTCCATCAAATAAAAGATGACAATGAGAAACAAAATTGACAATAAACAAAAATGTAATTTTATTACAGGAAATAAAATTATAATATTTCTCTCTATAAATCCAAGGAGAAACAAATAACATCTTCTCCTGAAAATAAGAAAACACAACTACTTAGAGAATTTAAAAAAAAAAAACAAATTTTCTCTTAATTTTTTTCACCAGTGACTTTGGTACGTTCTATTAAGAAATCATACGCCCTTTTTATTACAAGAAAAACACCAAAGCAAAGTCCCTCTTATGTTTGAGTTCTTTTCTCACATAATCAATCATTAATGGTGGAAACTTCCGGCCTATGAGAAGTTGGTTAAATCTAATAAGACTAACAAACTAAGAAACTTGATAGCTTTCAGAAATAGCAAAGCAATTCAGTACAAACAAATTACTGTTGCAGCTGAAGAAAACTTGATATCTTTAATTTATACAAAAAGAATAGAGATTGTATTATAAGAAAAAATTAAACAAAGTATAGACTAAATAAGAACGGAATGGTTAGCGATCGATTCTTATTTGCACCAAGTGAAGCAAGATTATTTATTTTCACAAGCATACAATGCGATCAAAATTGAAACACAAAACATTGAAATAAAAAACGAAACACAAATTGAAGGAACAAACGTCATATCTAATAGAGATGAAATGCACTAAAACGAACATCAACAGAGATGAACCGGATATGACTGCATGAACGGCAAGGAGAGTGCTCTGAACGGTGTGTCTGAGAGAGAGAGAGGGAGAGAGAGCAAAGGGCTGTGAACCTAGAGAGGGTAGGTAGCAAGCGAGAAAGAACAAACGCACCGGAGAGAGCAAATGAAAAATTCCAAATTATTTTAAGTGGAATTTGAAATTCTATAATTGAAGTTAATAAAAAATACCTTTTAAAATTACTAGAATTTGAAATTCTTTCTAAGTACAGTAGCTAAAGAAAGTATTCTACCACATAGCATTCTAAAGTTCGCTAAAACACTGAATTACCCTATAAAAATTCGTTATCGAAACATACCATTAAAGGTTTGTTCTCCATATGCCGATTGATGACTTCATTATGTATACAGTTTGTTAACTGCTTATATGGTTTAGCTCGTCTTTCAAGATGCGAGTCTTTTCAATAAACGTTCTGTTACCTGAGCCAGTTTGACAACCAAAATTAATTTTGGCCCAACAAACCAAAAACTGTGGTTTCTGAAAACCCTTGTTTGAATCCTGATTTAAGAAGCAGTGCTTCCCAAGTCCTGGCCCCAGGAACAAAGCTTTTCGCAACAATTTTCTTGGTCAATTCTATTGCTTCAGAAATCAAGCCTTTTTGGCACATCTGAAAGATGATATTATCAAAGGATGAAGATCTAGGAAACAAACACTTCTCCAACATTTCCTCCAACAAAAAGCACGCTTCACCAATCTCACCTTTCCCAACCAAACCATCAAGCATGATTCTGTATGAATGCAAGTTGAGCCCAACACCCTTCCACCCCATTTCCTTCATTACCTCCCTTGCCTTACGTAAATCCCCTGCTAAACACAAAGCACCCAATAAAGTATTGCAAGTAACCACATTTGGTTTGCATTCTAACTCTTCCATAGAAGCAACAATCTTAAAGGCCTCATCTATGTTATTCTGCTTACACAAACCATTTATATACACGTTATAAGTATAAACATCAGGAACGACTCCAAACACAAGTATTTCATCAAATAATTGATCTAACTTTACATACTCCCCCTCTGCTACAAGCCCACTCAAGACCATAGTATAATTAACAACATCAGGTTTAATTCCATCTTGTTTCTGCTGGTTCAGAACATCCAAAGCATCCATACCCTTCCCTTCCTTCACCAAGAACCTAATCATGTTTGTATAATCCCTGACACCAGGACAAAATCCCACTTTCCTCATATCCCTCCAAACAATCAAAGCCTCACCACTGGTCAGATCGTCTTGTTCACACAATGATGATATTATCGAAGAACATATTGTCTCATCCAAACCATACCCATCTTCTATCATACAATTCAGCATCTTAATGGCATAACCCACCCTCTTAATTCTACACAAGGCCTTGATCAAAACCCGAAATGTCGATTCCTCAATGCGAATGTTCATATGCTGGCTTTTCAGCAAGATGTCGGGAACCATTTTGAGATACTCTCTCTTCCTACAAAGCAGTGAGAGAACCAAATTCAATGAGCAAACAGTTGGTGTGCACCTGAACCTGGGGATCCTGAAAAACAAATCCACAGCATCTTGGACCTTGTCAGAAAGACCATAGAACCTAATAAGGTACACAAGGACAGACTCTGGAGTTTCAAACTTCTCCAAGTGTTCAAGGTGGTCAAGGAGAGCAGGAACGTCCTGCAACTGGGAGGTGTTGGTTAAGGTTTTTATGACAAAGTAGTAAGCTTTTGGAGTTGGGTCACAGCTGTAAGCTTTGAATGAGTCAATGAGAGTGGAGAGAAGAAAAGGGTGGGGAAGGTTAGCTGTTTGGGGTTCCTGGGAAAACCCCATTTCAAGGGTTGCTTGTTTGAGCTTTTGCATGGCTTGTTGTTGACCAAAGTTGTGGTGCCATGGGGTCTTGTAAGGAGAGTGTGGCCATTTCCTGAATTTTCTGAGGTATTTGTTAGCTCTCTTGGATAAGGGCTGTCTCACCATTTCGATCTGCCGAGGAACAGAGCAAGAACGGACATTGGATTAATTGTATCAACGAAACAAAACCAAAATTTTGGCTTGGGAATGATGCAAATCAAACCTTAAACTGAGACAGATTTTGACAAAATTATAGACGTACGGTTATATAAATAGTTAATGTAATTTCCTTTATTGAAGATTATGTATCTTTTATTTATATACTAATAAATTACAATAACTACTATTCATTCGTTAAAAATTAGAATAACTTTCTTTGCATGAAAATATGCTGAGGTATTTCTTTCCAAGGACAATGTATTTAAAAAAAATCAATTTCTATCATATTCATCTTTATTTTAAAATTAAAATTCAATGTTTTTTAAATTACCAATAGTTAAAATTAATATTATATAACAACACAATTTTTTTTCTATAAAGTTAAAATATTATTTATACTTAAAATAATTTACTTATCACAAAATTTGGTACTATACAACTTAATATTTAAAACCTTTTATTTAATATAAATCTTAATTATATGCATATATATAT